ATGAAGATGTATTTATGTAGATGTATATGCAATTATGTATATCTATATCTAAGTATATATATATTACTATATATATATATATATCTAAGTATGTATATATATATATATATATATATTATGTATATATATATTTATATATCACCAGCATCTGCGTGTTGATAGTCCATGGCGTTCATCTCTTCTGACATAAGTCAAGTATACTAGAACTTAAATCCGCACTATGGCATAACAGGTTGTGAACCCATTGTTGTGAATGAATATATGTTATCATGGTATTATCAGTTTGACATATATATATATATATATATATTTATTTATTTATTTATTTATATTTGTATATATTCATATCTATAAATATATATATATATGTGTGTGTGTGTGTGTGTGTGTGTGTGTATGTGGAGATTGTATGGGTATATATATAGGCCCCTTCCAATAACTGTGCCTTCTATAGTACGTGTGTTACTGTATCCATTTCGATATGCGCCCTCTGTGCTTGAATTCGGTAGTCTGTATCATTGTTTTCTCATTCCATGCACATCTCTGGAGTGGACTGTTGCTAGTTACTACCGGATGCAATCCACCCTTTATTCATATTTGTAGTTTAATTTAAAGAGTTTCTGTTCGTTTTCTCAGTCAGGGCGTACGCTTTCGTTCCGAGAGTGCACAGGTGCTGGGTATTGCCCATCACCAGTTGTATACCCATCCTAGTTTATCTGTGTAGTTTTAAACGTCAACTTATTTATTTCTTCTACGGCAGGACGTACCCTACTAGATGCGCAAAGCGTTGAGTTGGTGCCGGCAGAACCGAACAAACAACATGCAAGCGGCGTCGGCAATGTGCTATGGATCTCTGACATACACATTGATCCTTACTATGGTGATATAGGGGTAGGTGTACGCTGTTTCTAGATCGCATGCCAAGGTATCCTCCCATCCACTATTATAGATACGAGTCACAGTTATAGCACAGTACCGACCATACTTTCCTACCCAAATTATATCTAGCTAAACTATAACCAACTAACATATGACCAACTAAAATTAACCAACCAAAATATATCAACTAACATATAACTAACTAAAGTATAACCAACTAAAATATAACCTACTAACATATAACTAACTAAAATATAACTAACTAAAATATAACCAACTAAAATATGACCAACTATAATATAACCAACTTATCTATATCTAACTAAAAGATTACCAATTGAAATATAACAAATAAAATATAACCAACTAACATATAAACAACCTATCTATAACTAACTAAAATATAACCATTTGAAATATAACCAGATTAACTATAACCAACTAAAATTGAACCAATTGAAATAGAACCAACTAAACTTCAACCAACTAACATATAGCCAACTAACATGTAACCAACTAAAATTGAGCCAACTAAAATTGAACCAACTAAACTATAACCAACTATCTAGTCGTAAACAGCAAGTGTACAAGAGCGTGCGCTTGAATTGAGTGTTTCCATGTTGTATTCAGTGTGTCCACAAGCCGTTGCCATGGTTACATGTCGCGTGCGTATTAGCCTGCCGTCCATCTTGTATGCATACATGTGTTCGTGCTGGTGTCGTATGCACTACTCAGCTCTGCTGTTAGTGAACTGAGCTCAGTCTCTTGATGGAGGGCCGTTCGACTCGTTCCATAACTGTCGAGACGTTAACGTTAACGTTAACGTGACGGATGGTCCGGTGTGATCTATGGTTTGGCGAATGGCAACTGTTGTATGCCGCCATTTATGTGTTTTCTGCAAATGTTATCCAGCTATTTATGTGTTTTCTATAGTAGCTATAGTGCTGTGTGCGATAGAGGTTACTGCCCTGTTGATGGCTTTCTTCTCGCCTGGCGGCTCCTGTGGTTGGTTGCTGTGGTGACAGATAACGCACAGACTTTCATATGCCGGCGCCCACTTCTGCGTAGTAAATCAATGGTCCAGAGGTACAGGCAATCTTCCAGCCCCTGTCCTAGTGTTGTGCCCTTTGTGTAGAGCCGTACGGGGTACTGTATTCCTTCTGGTAGGCGATCCACTCAACCCACTCTCTCTCTATCATCTGCCCCACTCTGCAGACTGTACCGAACTGCACGCACGATACCAAATACGGGGGCAAAGGCTGTGACACACCCTGGCGACTGTTTACATCGCTCGTGGAGTCTGCAAGCGAAAACGTGCCGCAGCCGGACTTTATCCTGACGACAGGTGTGTTAGATGGGATTTGAACCTTCAGCTTTCATGAAGATAGTTTATCTCATTCTGGTTCGGGGGTGTTAAAGTAGATACTGCGAGTGTAGACGGGTACGATGTACTTTGGGAATACACGGATTAGATATTTAGGGTTTAGGGTCATATATAATAGAGCAGGTACTCATGCATACACAATAGGCTATGGCGATAGATAGAGTGAATCTGGTTGACTGTGTCTACTGACACACATACATCACGGCATGCATCGACTGTACTACTGTTGCCGAGTTTTTGCAGAGCTGTCATAGTACATAATCGCCTGCAAGCCACTTGACCCTGCGTCTCCTTTCCCAGTACCGAACATCCAATAGCTGAAGCCAATCACAGGCGTGTTGATTTCTCAGGGAACTGAACTATCTGACTCTCACCGGCCTAGGCCGAGGCAAGGATGTGCTAGTACGACACAACTGGCCTGATTATTGTTCCTTTCGGACCGGTACAGACACATCTACCTACTTACCCCCCCCCTGGATACTCTCGTAGGGTTTTGTTATAGGTCACCTGAGGTCAAATCCGACGCACGGGGTTTTACGAGTTGTTTGCCGCCAGCGACATTGTCTGTGTGTGTGTGTATGTATGTATACGAAACACAAGAAACACAAAGTTAGTAACAACACCGACCCTCACACTCTGCTCGCTCAGGCGTCTACATCCGCCACTGGCCAGAGGTCTGTGTATGTATGTATGTATACGAACCACAATGTTAGTTACAACCCCAACTGTCACACTCTGATTGCGAACCACACTGTTAGTAACAACACCAACCCTCACCCTCTGCTCGCTCAGGCGACTACATCCGCCACTGGCCGGAGGTCATGCCTGATCCAGAGAATGAAGAGTACGAAGTGCTCAGCCGCATCGTCACAACGTTGGAGAATACCTTCCCCAATGCGCATAAGGTGTGTGTGTGTGGGTGTGGGTGTGACTACTCGAAGCCTTGTGTGGGGGGGCGGGGGCCTTGGCAGGTGTACCCGTACCAATTGCTCGAATGGAACCCTAAACCCTAAACCCTAAACCTTAGACGTTAGACCTTAAACAATAGTATGGTCGGGCGCCAGCTAAAGACCAAAGTCAGTGGTGCTTTTAAAGCCACTCAGTTGGGGGACTATGTATACAATACTCTCTTTCATCTTAAACCGTCACCATAGCTTTTGTAGTGTGACATTCGCTACAAGCGAATATGTACTACATTCGTTGCATATTTCATTGCAATTCCGTAATTCATTGTTACTGTTTGTCTGTGTATGTGTGAGACAGGTACACGCCCCTTACATCGTATCGACACTTGGCAATGACGATCTCTATCCCCCGTATACTATACAACCGGTGACCGGAAGATTCCAGTCGTCTAGGGTATGTCGGTTTGTCGCTTCACGTGTGATATA